TAATAAAAATAATTGTTAATAAACTAATGTTACAGTAATTTAAATAACGAGTTGGCTGGTTTTTCCTGATAAAAAGTTTGATTTTTATAAATATTTGTTATGTAGTAGTAGGAAGCGTAGAATCGACAACAAAACGAAAAAAACCCCATCCGATAAAAGAGTGAAATGGTACTAGGAATGCAACAAACTAGAAAATAACCTATAAATACCATAATATTAATTGAAATTTAGTTTAGTAATAATACAGTAGTGTTCAATTTATTTGTTTTTAGGTAGCCTATGTTGTTACTTAGTAGAAAGACAACAAAACATAAATAAAAAAAGTATGATAAACCGATTGCCGAACGAACTCAATGATAATTAGGCCTAGCTATATTAAATTTGGCGTTTTCGCAACTCTATTGACGCTCCATATATTTGTTGAAAACAAACCGCGACTGAAACAAGGCGCGACCGAAATGATCTGTATTCGCCCTGTCTGCCATGTCAATCATAATGTTTGGATTTGGCTTTGTGTATACAGTATGGCGTGCTTGTTACAGGCCCTAAATAAAATGTTAAGGTTTCTTGTTCAGAATACTCTGTACTGTAGTTAGATGAATATGCATGCCTATGAATGATGAGGTGGGGATGACATTCATTATATAGGCCTACTCAAAATACTTTTTTGATAAATTATAGTCTAGTCCTAGGCCTATAGACTGGAAAAGAGGCCCCATACTGTAGATAGTCTAGCTAGTTCTAGTGTCTAATAATTAATAGTAATTATTATAAGTTAATCGTGACGTCATCACTGCAACTCCCAATGTTATTTGCCTATTCCCCACTGTCCACTAATTTTTCAATAGTGGACGCTTGCCTTGATTTTTTTAGGTTCGTGTGCAAAAAAAAAAATTCCTAATTTTTTGGTCACCGTGAAGACATTGTGCACCGCGAAAAAAATTGAATTGTAATTGAAAATACTTTCGTAAAACAAGGTTACTTATAACCTGAAGAAAGTTAGTGACAGTGACTGTATTCTCTCTCGAATGCTTTGAAAAATGTATTTCTTTGACGAATGTGAAAAATTACATACAAGTTTTTCTAACACAATACAAGTTACAAAGTAGCCTAGGCCTAGTTATTCATCGTATCCGTACAGTACTGCTGATGTGTAGTTAACTTGTAAAAAGGGTGATGAACGTTTGTTGGAAATCACCTCTACAGTAGTTTTAATAAAGTATAATACTTATATGTTTGATATGTTCCCTGTTTGAGATCTCTGCAGATATTATTCTCCTGAAGACGGTTGAAGCAAGTCAACCGAAACGTCGAGATATTCTCAACCAACAACGACAGTTCTTTTCAGAACTATCTACCTGGTGTACCGCAAGCATTAATTATATATTATACTTCGCCATGCAAACCTTCAAACAATATTTTGATCTGTGTTAACTTGCGTTAATATAAAGGGTGGTGTCATCTGCATAGATCCCTCATACAGTGCTTTGTGATAGTGGGAAGATCATTTATAGAAATACTGAAAAGTAGGGGTACTTCGTGATCGGTGGAGAGTAGCGATTCTTAAAAAACTGAATTTTTATATGTATTATCAATCAATATTGCTTCGAAAGGATTTCGGGAGTTTTCAACCAAATTGATTTCTCTAAATGTTAATGTCTTTTTAACATAGAGCCACAAAAATGTTATGTGAGGGTTGCACATAAAGCTGAGTGATCAGAACCTACAGTAGTTCAAATCATGATGTCCTAGTCAGGTCTTGAACCAGGGTGGGTGTACACCGCAAGAGGCAAGAACAATACCGCTAAGTAACGGCACAAGTGGGGGTCCAGAGGGAGTATGAAAGGCAATTTCTACATGACATTGATAAAGCATTTTTACAATCTGAGAGTGCCATTTCCAGTCACCCAGCATTGCCTATTCTTAAGTTGCTTGAATCATGGTTGGGGTGGGCTGAGGAGGGTGTGTACCTTTGTCGGGAACTTTGACCTGTCAACGGGAGCCTTAAACCCCTCGTGAGGAGAGTTCTGCCCCCACTATTACCATTTAGCCAAACGTTCAGCTCATTGATTGATTGATTGATTGATTGATTGATTAATCCAATCAATAATATTGATGTTTTTATACTAGGGTCACATTGAAGTCAAATAGCACAAGATTTACCTTTAAGTTGGAAAAATGTCTGAGGCCACTGAATCAAACAGACAGTGTAAAACGATTCTTCCCGCCATATTGGTTCACGGAGGAGCGTGGGCAGTTCCCGATAGTTTACGAGATGCAGTTAACTGTGGGATTCAAAGAGCAGTACGAAAAGGTTATGAAGTTCTCCTGGAAAAAGATTCTGCACTAGATGCCATAGAAGAAGCTGTTCGAGCCTTGGAGGATGATCCATGTTTTAATGCAGGTATGAAAGGCAGTTAATATCATAATCTGATATTCAAGTGTATTTTAACTCAAATATGAGCTACTATACTGTATATACTGTACTGTAAATAAAATGTTATGGGACACATGTTTATTCTGCCTAATTCTAAACGTGGTCTGCCGATACTTCGGTGACTGGCTTTTACTTTCTCAAAATGGTCCAAAACAACCAGTAAGGCGATTATTGGTGAGCCAAATTGTTCTATGTTAGGATAAGCTTGTTCTTCATCTTCTGCGTCTGATTGTAACAATTCTGAAAATGTCTTTGATCCATAGACGCCTGCTCCAGCAAAACCATCAAGATAACATATGGCAGGGTTGTCAGTGTAGTACATTCTCGGAACCCATGATTGTAAATATTTTTTTAAAATTGTTCTCTTAGCCAATCCATGTGGTGTATCTGTCTTGAAGAATGACAATGGAAGACTCTGAATGGAACTAGCACATACCATGTTCAATTAACTTCTTTTTTGGCCTGTAAATCAAAGTATGCTATTAATTTATGAGTAAAAAATATTTCACAAAATGTAAAGAATTTTTTATTAAAATTTAGTTCTTGTAAATACATAAAAGCAATATTTTATTTTAAAAATTAATAAAAAGTTAAAAGTAAGTTTGTTGATAAACATTTTTGTTGTTTAAATAATCAGTAAATGACAAATATATGTTTAGACCAGATACAATTTCTTATAAGACTTCAAAGACTAAGTCCTATCATATTTTACGTGTTTGTAGTCAGTTTTGGGCACTAATCCTCAGAGGTGAAGATGCCAAGCCTATCACGTTTCATAATTCAACATCAAATCCTGACCTTGATTTACTATGAAAACTGAAGGTCAACTTCATCAACCAGACTTGCAATAAATTTGATTAAACACAATTTTTTCCTGTCTAGGAAAAACCTCAAAAATTGCTTTTTTAGACAATCTGTGAATTTTTGGGTTTTTCCTAGACTGTCAAACTTTGACCATTTATTACTTGCTTATAAGACATATTGAATCTTAAATTTTTTTATATGTAGTAGTTAACACCCAAGGCCACAATTTACATCAAAAGATCCACAAGGTCGAATTTTGAGGTCAAAAAGAAGGTCAAAAGGTCATTGACATTAGATATGGCCATTTTTTTCAAAATAAAGGCAGATTTTAGATTCCTTAGTTAATTCTCGTTTTAGAAATACCAATTTTATGAATATCGGTCAACCCACTGCTGAGATATTAAGGATTAAATTTTGGTGGCCACACCCGTTTAGGCCAATTTTGCCATTTTTGGGCAGGCCGTAACTTTCAAAATATTGATCCGATTTAGCTAAAATTTGAGATTTACGGGTTTGATACCGAACCGAACATGTATATTAATTTTAATCGAAATCGGAGTCAGTTGGGTAAACCCATTGGGTGATTTGAAATGGAGTACAAATCATCAATAGCTAGCCTATATATAGCTCTAGCATCAATTTTCTTAGATACATTAATATTTTGATTCATTAGTTTCAATTTGTTATTATACGTAAGTTAATTATTGGATCTGTTGTAATAAAGCTACATAAATGAATTAAATATTTACCTTATATTCTCTATTTAACCTTAGGTACGTAGGAAGTGTCTCCAACAATGTAAAGTGGGTTTTTCCAGAGTTTGTCATGTGACCTAGCTGGTATTTTTGTGGGTGCAATCAAGCATGAAATGATGAAATCAGACTTTGAACTGCTGAGAGGGGGCTTTTACAGATAGAGGGTGTAGTCCACCTCAGCCCCACTATCGTTCGGGCTGAGGTAAGAAAATTTATGATTTTGGCACCTCTAGATGGCACCCTCAGGCGAAAATTTAATCATAATTTTCCTTTTTTCGCCATTTAAAAAAAATAATTTTGAAAAATTAAAGGGGGTGATGAAGCTGGGCCAGCTTATGCCAGCTTGATCCTCTTTGAATCTGCCACTGCAAATCATCACTAAACCTTTAGCCAAGTACACTAAAGTATTAAAAGATTTGCCAGTCAATATTATAACGCAAGTAATTGTGCTCCATAGATGCTCAGTTTTATATGCTTAAATAAGCTGGGTACACTCCGCATCGTACAGAGGTCGGACAAATCCAAGTCCGCTCCCTTTGAGCGCTATACAACTTAACGCCGTATGCTGACTCTCGGTGGCAGTCTGAACGGACCACCATTAAACATGATCTGTTGTGCGCACGTTGTGGTGTCGCGTTTTGCAAAGAATCCTGTCGATGACCATCAGGTGCAGTGTGAGTGTTGTTGCAGGTTTAAAATTTACCTAAATTATATCATTGCTATGCAGCAAAGGTCATGACACTGTTGGGGCTGTAGCAGTGGATTCGTTGGGCAATGTCGCTTCGGCCACGTCCACAGGTGGAATCACTGGAAAAGAAGCTGGAAGAGTCGGTGATTGTCCATTAGTAGGTAAGAAGATTCTAAAGCCAGTTTTCAACTAGGCGAATTTATTCACGCCCATCAAAAGTGTCAGTTCACTTCCAGAGTTCTGATTGGTTGCGCATTTTCTTCCAATTTCGCTGAAGTGAAAATCTGGTAGATGTGTGAATGCGCTTGAACTGACCCTTTGGATTTGTGCGAATAAACTCGCCGATTATGGTATATATATTTATTCATTCGTTCAAATAACAAATGCCGAAACCAAGAAGGCAAGCCTGTGTACAGATTCCAGTGACTAACTTAATCACAAAACCTCTAATATCAATGTGGAATACTGCACTACTACAGTACTCTGTGTTAGACTCGCCCCCCCCCCCAATTCAAGACTTCTAGATACGCCACTGAGCTCCACTCCTTTAATTCATGCCAAAACAACAACAAATTGCATTGCTTTGTGTTGTATGATGTTTGAGGAAAAAAATATCCTTACTAACATTTGTAAATATTTAGTACATTACTTTTGTTTGAATCTGTATTCTCAAAATTGCAATTCACTCATTACACAAATCAATAGTGTAATGTGGGAAAACTCCTGGCTCTGTGCCAATTGGTCAGTTGATAAGTTTGATTGACACTTTGCAGAGGTCCATTACCTAAATGTGAAAAGATTGAGACAGGACTCGTTTGAGACCAAGATTATTATTTTACACAGTATATGTGATGTGATGGGGGTAATAGTGTCAGCTTGCATTAATCCTTCTATACCGAGTTAAAAAATTCAACATTCTGTGATATGTTATGCAGCACATGGAATGGGGTGAGGACTGATGTGGGGGTGGGCACTTGAATATTTTTGCTTTGGATTTTTTTAATGGGGGGAGGGGCGGTGACTTAGGGTGTGAGCTTTTTTTAGGGAGGGGGATGTGGGACCCCACACATCCCCTAGATACGCCCACCACTGATAAATTGGACTTCCATACTTTGATGATATATTTTCCTTTACAGTACCTACTCTTTAATATTCTCAGGTTGTGGTAGATATTGTGATAACAACATTGGCGCAGTGTCATCAACTGGACACGGTGAGTCCATCAGCAAGGTGGTCCTAGCTAAAACTATCATTATGTACATGCAACAAGGTACTACACAAGCGCATTATCATAATTTTTATCCGGATATCGCTATAATTTTAATTCCATCAGATAATCTCTAGATTGCATCAGTATAATTTCATTTTAAAGCCCTATCTAGACTATCAAATTTTATTTGAGAAAAACATGTGACATGCCTAAATATGGTCATGATGACATCACATCACTGCCATATATAGGCACATCACGACTATATATGGGAATACAGCAAAATGCGAGTTGAATGGCTGAGCGATTAGCATATGTAAATTTGGCCAAATTGTGTCAAGAATCCACACGACTTAATGTTCTCGTATGCGCAGATGACTTTTAGCAACGTCATTACGTTCTAGGTCCTACCATTATTGTGCAATCAAAAGCTTCGTATTATCTGCGCAGGTTCTAATGACACGCTCGCCTATGATTCCGGTGGTCGTTGATCGAGTTCCTAGTCCACATATCTAAGCACTTTGTATCCTTTGGCAAAAAAAGCGCTATATACATTTCTATATTTCAAACTTAGATTTAGATTTGTGAAATTTGATTGTCTTACAGAGCTTTACAAGTGTTCACATTTTGATTATTATTATTATCAGGATTTAAAATCAGTTCCTCCCTAAATCATCATGACCATAACTGCAGAATTAGTAAGGAATTTTTTTTTCTCCATCATGATTAGGATTGAGCTCTCAAGAAGCAGCTGAGAAAGCACTGTCTGTCATGACCCAGAGAGTTCAAGGGTCAGGAGGTGTAATAGTGGTCAGCAATACCGGTGACATAGGAATTGCATTTACAACTGAGCGAATGTCTTGGGCTTCAATGCAGAATGATCAGTTGTGTTACGGACTGGATCCTGGTGAAAATAATATTGCTACAATAAGCAATATATGAAACTAGTTATGCTGTTCGAATGTTCAATATTTAAAGGCTCCTATAAATTTAATGCCATTATTTTTTATAAGATTGTTCAATTTCAAAGTAGATACAAATATATTTTAGTCATTTTAATACAATTAAAAGCAAATATGTCAATTGTCTTAAAACCAAATTGCAACTCTTTTGAAGTTGACATTTAGAAATACTCACCAAATTCCTGTATGTATCTATATAAATGTCATTTAGTGGATTTTATGTAAATATACCATATATTCTTGCGTATAAGGCGATCTGCATTTAAGACGATTCTAGAGTTTGAAAAGATTTTTTTTTATGGCGGCGTGTAAGACGACCCTCTGTTTCACCTTCGAAATTCATACTTTTTGCTGCTCTTTATGGTCTTTCGCATCTAGCTGGCAAAAAAACAGAGCATCAAATTTCACTGCATCTAAAATTGTGTTCATTCAGCTTAAATAGCTCATCTTAAATTTTTAATTTTTAATTTGCATGTTATGGAAAATCCGAATAAAAAAATGTGTATGTATTGCGCAATGTAAGACATCCCATCTTTCGATCGTAATTTGCTTTTTTAAGTTTCATTGTGCAAGAATACAGAGTAATTAAACTTCATATCTATTTCAATCGGTGAATCAATTTTATGTGTAAGTGGGTTGAACCATAAGTTATTTACTGTGTTTTTTTAATGATACTCTCTTCAGTACAAAAGTGATTTCAGTACCTTCTTCCAATAGTTTATGTGTAAGTGGGTTGAACCATAAGTTATTTACTGTGTTTTTTTAATGATACTCTCTTCAGTACAAAAGTGATTTCAGTACCTTCTTCCAATAGTTTATGTGTAAGTGGGTTGAACCATAAGTTATTTACTGTGTTTTTTTAATGATACTCTCTTCAGTACAAAAGTGATTTCAGTACCTTCTTCCAATAGTTTATGTGTAAGTGGGTTGAACCATAAGTTATTTACTGTGTTTTTTTAATGATACTCTCCTCAGTACAAAAGAGATTTCAGTACCTTCTTTCAATAGTTTATGTGTAAGTGGGTTGAACCATAAGTTATTTACTGTGTTTTTTTTAATGATACTCTCTTCAGTACAAAAGTGATTTCAGTACCTTCTTCCAATAGTTTATGTGTAAGTGGGTTGAACCATAAGTTATTTACTGTGTTTTTTTAATGATACTCTCAGTACAAAAGTGATTTCAGTACCTTCTTCCAATAGTTTATGTGTAAGTGGGTTGAACCATAAGTTATTTACTGTGTTTTTTTAATGATACTCTCTTCAGTACAAAAGTGATTTCAGTTTCTTCCAATAGTTTTTCTTTACTTTTTTATACCTTGTTTAGCAAATTTTTTGAGAAGTGAGGAATAAAATAGAATTTTTTATTTTTCATAATATTTTTGCTTTGATCTGTGTAAAATCTATAGTAATTTAATATTAATCTTTGTTAATTCATAAACTCTATTATCAATCTGTGTAAAATTTGAAGCGCTCTAATATTAATCTGCGAAAAAATTTTGAGTGCTCTAACATTTATCTATGTAAAATCAAAAGCACTCTAATATTTTTGTTTATCCTCATATGATTTTTCTAAAATACCGGTACTTTTCTATCCATAGTTGAGTTTTGGAATTCCTACTTCGGCGTATCAAACAATGGCAGCAGAGTCAAGGCTCTGCAGGAGAAAAATAAGAAAGAGCTAGAAAGAAGTAGTATGGACAAACATTGAGATCCCAAAGAAGAATATTGCACACCAACTTCAGAGGATCGTAGAAAAACCAAAGTTTTGCAGTGTTGCTTAGGAACAAGAGGTAAGGAATTAAATTAATTGATTATTTAAAATGATAAGGTGATACGCTATACACAACGTATCACCTATTATTTTTCTAAATACTTTTCTTCTGTTCTTTCTCCTCTTTGTTCATGGCTTTTCTCAAATATGGTGCAGGCTCTAACCTTGCTTGGCTAGCATGTTGTATCTACATCTGAAGTCACAGTCATGTGATGTCATCTACACGCCATTTTCTGAAAATTTCTATGTGATCATAAATTCCTCACAGGCATTTTTCAATCAAACTTGACACAAGTGTACTTCATATCGAGGGTCAACTTTGTTTGCCAATGCCGTCCACATGCATGTTATGAGTGCGCGTATGCATGCGTTAAAATTTAAAATGCTCAAATCACTTTTTGACTAATTTGAGCAGGTTTCAGGTTATTTAGAGGCATCTAGACTGTACCAACTTGTACATTCACTATGTCACTCCTTGTCAAGGGGTACTGAAAAATGTTGTCTAAGACGTTGCAGCTTCTGGGTTGAGGTGATGTGCAAAACGACAAGATAACAAAGATGCCAAATTCGAAATAACAGGACAGCAAAAATTTAATCAAACAATTATATTGAACAGTAATCATTGTATGAACAGTAATCTTAAACTTAATTTAACAGGCCTCGTTGCACGTGCTCAGCCTTGTGAATTCGCTTTGGGTATTTCATGACTCCCCAGATGTGCACACTTGTTCTGCACAAATGGACATGTTTGGCCCTATCCAGTGTAATACAGTTAACAATTAACGTCACCATGGTAATGTGTACTTCTACAGATAATTTCTTACACTGAATGGCATTTGTGTTTGCGTTTACATTAAAAGTTCTAGATTTTAGTGATGTACTGTATATCGTTAATTACGTTCCTGAAGTTCACAAAATTGTGAATTTGATGGTGATAATCCTGTCGTAACATTTGCTGTATAGTAGATTATAAAAGTGTACGTAGGCCTACAGCATTATAAATGTCCTAATACAGAGATAAAATTAACTAAGGCTTAATAATAATAGACATAATACTAATAATAATAGGCCCAATAGTAATGAATACAGTAATAATAAATTATATATACAGTTGTATGATGATGTGTAGAGAGCAATAGAGCATAACCATTAATTAAATTGATAATACAGTACACCATTAGTTTATACAAGTTTAAACATATATAAACACCTAAATATACATGAAATAAAATAATTTAACGTATCCGCAACGTACACCCATCATACATAGGCCCAATAGTAATGAATAATAATAAATTATAATACAGTTGTACGATGATGTGTAGAGAGCTATAGAGCATAACCATTAATTAAATTGATAATACAGTACATCATTAGTTTATACAAGTTTAAATATATATAAACACCTAAATATGCATGAAATAAAGTAATTTAACGTATCCACAATGTACACCCATCATACATAGGCCCAATAGTAATGAATACTAATAAATACAGTTGTATGATGATGTGTAGAGAGCTATAGAGCATAACCATTAATTAAATTGATAATACAGTACATCATTATTTTATACAAGTTTAAACATACATAACCACCTAAATATGCATGGAAGAAAATAATTTAACATATCTGCAATGTACACCCATCGAAGAAGGCTGTAATGTTTACTGTATATCCGTAAATATGTCAACTTCACCACAGCTAAGACAGTTATCATTTGCTAAGCAACAACCCTTTACAGCCGTGTACCTCACCCCGCGGCACCACAAAAGAACTGAGTTATTCTGGTGTTTCTGTGAGTTAACTTTCTCTTGACTAGGAATATGTTAAGGAGGCTTTTTCCAGTGATAATCCTGTCGTAACATTTGCTGTATAGTAGATTATAAAAGTGTACGTAGGCCTACAGCATTATAAATGTCCTAATACAGAGATAAAATTAACTAAGGCTTAATAATAACAGACATAATACCAATAATAATAGGCCCAATAGTAATGAATACAGTAATAATAAATTATATATACAGTTGTATGATGATGTGTAGAGAGCAATAGAGCATAACCATTAATTAAATTGATAATACAGTACACCATTAGTTTATACAAGTTTAAACATATATATAAAACACCTAAATATACATGAAATAAAATAATTTAACATCTCCGCAATGTACACCCATCGAAGAAGGCTGTAATGTTTACTGTATATCCATAAATATATCAACTTCACCATAGGTAAGACAGTTATCATTCTCTAAATAACAACACTTAACAGGTGTGTACCTCACCCTGCGGCACCACAAAAGAACTGAGTTATTCTGGTGTTTCTGTGAGTTAACTTTCTCTTGACTAGGAATATGTTAAGGAGGCTTTTTCCAGTGATAATCCTGTCGTAACATTTGCTGTATAGTAGATTATAAAAGTGTACGTAGGCCTACAGCATTATAAATGTCCTAATACAGAGATAAAATTAACTAAGGCTTAATAATAACAGACATAATACCAATAATAATAGGCCCAATAGTAATGAATAGTAATAAATTATATATACAGTTGTATGATGATGTGTAGAGAGCAATAGAGCATAACCATTAATTAAATTGATAATACAGTACACCATTAGTTTATACAAGTTTAAACATATATATAAAACACCTAAATATACATGAAATAAAATAATTTAACATCTCCGCAATGTACACCCATCGAAGAAGGCTGTAATGTTTACTGTATATCCATAAATATATCAACTTCACCATAGGTAAGACAGTTATCATTCTCTAAATAACAACACTTAACAGGTGTGTAAGATGTGTATAAGAGACAGTAGTTTATGTGTAAGTGGGTTGAACCATAAGTTATTTACTGTGTTTTTTTAATGATACTCTCCTCAGTACAAAAGTGATTTCAGTACCTTCTTCCAATAGTTTATGTGTAAGTGGGTTGAACCATAAGTTATTTACTGTGTTTT